ATCAAGACCATGTGGCAGCTCGCGTTCGAGGCGATCGAGAAGAAGAAGCGCATGGGCTACTAATGTATTTTCGTGTCTTTACTGCTTGGAGCGGACGTTGAGGTACAAGTGCACGGGGCAGCCGAGGAGCTTCTGGATGTCGAGGCGCGCCGACGTCCCGATCGACCGAAGGGTGTCGCCCTGCTTGCCGATGAGAATGCGCTTGTGGCGGTCCGACGGCACGATCAGATCCTGGTCGATGCGAATACTCTTGTCGCTGAACGGCGTCCAGCCGCGGTTCTCCTGCTCAATCTACCGCGCCATTTTGAGATTGTTACCACATTTAGTGAGTACCTGGTACGGCAGCTCTTGGTTGAAGCGGCGGTAGATCTTTTCGCGGATGATCTCCGTGACCAAGTCCAAGTCGGACCGGTCCGACTTGATGCTCGAGTGGTACAGCCACGGCCGGTCCACGGCCAGCGAGAGGAGTTCCGACCGCAGCTTTTTCACGCCCGACTCCTTGAGCGCCGAGACCTTAAACGTCTTGTCAAAGAGGTACGTCTTCGGGTCCAGTTTCAAAGGCGTGACGCTCGGCAAAAGGTCGTCTTCGTCAAAATCCTCGTCGTTTTCGTACTCTTCCAAGTCTTCTTCGCTCGCGAAAAACGACTCGGCGTCAAAGTCGGGGTCTTCGTCCTCGCCGTCTTCCTCGTCGTCAAACTCGGAGAAATCCGGCTCCGGCTTGTAGTGCTCTTCGAACGCCGCGTCGATCATCTCGCTAAGCACCTGGACGCGCTTGGTGACGTGCGCCTTCTCGGCGGGACCGACCAAGTCCATCTACGACCCTTCAGTTTACCATTCTCTAGCAGTGATGGCAAAGTACCTTGTTGAGCACAAGCGCGATCGGCGCCGACACTTGCGCCGACGAGATCGCAATGTCTAGCGCACGCATGAGCTCCAGAGGTATAATGTGATGGATATTACTCTTGAGGGCTTCGAGCGCTTCGTCGTCGAGGCGCTTGACCGCGTCGACAACGAGGAGCGAGAGGTCGACCGACGACATGGTCTCGGACGCCGTGACGGCCAGCGACCGCACGTACTTGTGGTTGTCCCTACGAGAGGTCAGAGATACCACCTGGCGTCGGGCGAGGTACTTTTGGTTCACGAGGCCCGGCGTGTCGAAGAACGTGATTTGCACGTCGTCTTGCGTGAGGATGCCGAGGACGCGGTCGCGCGTCGTGTTGTACTTGGCCGAGACCGCCGAGACCTGCGATGGTTCAGATGCTGCGATGATGACGCGACAGAGAGGACGTACGTTGAAGCCGAGGAGCGAGTTCATGAGCGAGCTCTTGCCTGCGTTCGGGCGGCCAATGACGGCGACCGACAAGGCGCGCGAGCCCGTCTCGGGTGCGTCCGGCTCTTGGTAGTGGAACGACGCATCGACAACGTCCTAACCCAGAGACGCGTCATAAATAGGGACGAGGACGGCGACGGTACCGAGGTCGGCGCTTCGAGGTTGGTGAAGACGCGTTCTTCCTTGTTCTTCTGGCGCTTGGCCTTGATCTTGTCCTTCACGGAGCCCTTCTTCGCATCAAACGCCTTGTCAAAGACTAGGCACGCGCATGGTGAGCACAAAGAGGTGTCCTCGTAGCACCAACCAGGAGCCGCGGGCTCGGACGCAGGTGTCGAGCGGCGCTTGCGCATCTCGGCCCACGCCTGCTCAAGCTCGGCCTGGTGCTCCGAGAGCGACTGCGGTGGCTTGGGCTTGGGCTTCTCAAACTTGGTGTCGGGCTTGGCAAACTTGGAGTCGGGCTTGGCAAACTTGGTGTCGGGCTTGGCAAACTTGGAGTCGGGCTTGGCCGCGGGCTTGGTCGCGGGCTTGTGCTTGAACGTCTTCTTGCGCGGGCCATCGTCCATCGTCTTGGCCCGCTTGTACTTGTCCTCGCGGTCCTTCTTCCACTTGGGCTCCTTGGCGAAGGTCGCCATCGACTGCAGCGGCGTCGCCCACGTCGCCGGGCGCACGACCCGCGGCAGGCAAGCGAACCGAAGCATCTTTTTTCTTTGCGCTCCAATCAAAATCCGGCGCGTTTTCCGGAATCCGGATACGGACTCCATGCATATTGATATTGATAGATTAAGTATCAATTGGTCGGGATCGTCGTCTCCTCGACAATGGTCATGGCGGCGAGCGCGAGGAAGAGGACGAACGCGATGACGCCGGAAATGAGGAGCTTGGTGCGTCGCTTGAGACGCTGCGCCGTCTCGGACGTGTCGTCTGGCGGCGGCGCCCCCACGCCGCGCTCGAAGAAGAGCGGGACGAACTGCTCCTTCCGGAAGCCCATCGTGTTGCGCAGATGCTCGTTCTCGACGGTAAAGAAGCTCCAGATCGTGCGCCGGATGGGCTCGAGCACCATCGAGAACGGATGGATGTACACGAAGAAGCTGTGGTTGAGCGCCTGCTCGGCCGAGGGCGGGATCAGCGTCAGCACCCAGGCGTAGCAGAGGAAAAAGTCGGCGACGATCGCAATGTAGTACACGGTGCGGCGCGGGTACATGTGGCGCTCGGCGAGGAACTTGTGCTCGGGTCGCATGAGCCCCCAGTCCATGGTCACATCCCAGAACCAGAGGAGGAAAGATGCGATGATAAAGCCCGCGATCCAGACCTGCTGGAGCGGGCTGATCGACTCAATGGGCCGGACCGGGTTGTGGAACGGGTGGAAGAGTCCGAAGAGCACGACGATCATCGTCAGGCCAAACTTGATGACGTTGCCGACGCCGGGCCACCACTGCTTCATGTCGTAGATGCGCCGGAGGCTCTGCAGGAACCGGTACCACTAGACACAGCGCGTTCATTCGAGTCTATCGGTGGAGGTTTGTACCAGCGGGAGTGCACATAGCAGCGGCACGACGACCTTGGCGTAGTAAAAGTTCTTGTAGCACTTGGACGGAACGATGCCTTGCATCGTGTGGTTGTGCAGGTACCCCTTCATGTCGGTGCCGCCTGCGTGCAGCATTTGGAGGTCGTCCGTCTCGAGGAACTCGCCCGTGACGAAGAAGCAGACGGACCACGCAATGTCTTGGTTCATGCGCTGCATGCTGAGCATGTAGTTGCCAATGAACGTGTGAAGGAACGTGACGGGGAACCACGGCGCGCCGAAGATCTCGGCGACGACCTTGACGAGGCCGATCTTGAGCTTCCAGTCGCGGATGAGGTAAAAGTAGATCATGTAGAGGAAGAGCACGAGCAGCACGTAGCCGCGGTGGACGACTTTGGACTCTGGGAACTCGTCGTTGCAGACCTTGTAGTAGACGAGCATGCACACGAGGTACACGATGCTGACGTGGGCGGCGTCGTGGAACACCTGGTCGTAGTCCTTCGTCTTGTGCGGGTCGAGGTCCATGATGTACTTGTAGTTGATGCGCGCCGAGCGCCACACGTAGAGCGAGACGCCCATGAGCCAGTTGAAGAGGATGACGCAGCCCATGCCCCGGAAGAGCGGGAAGCCTTTGGTGAGGAGCAGCCGCAGATGGTTATCGTTGGTCGCGATGCTCGGAATGATGCCGGCGTCCCAGATGACCCAGAGCCCGAGCATGAGGAGGCAGCCAAACTTGACGCCCATGTACGCCTGCGCCCAGTCGACGATCTCGACGCGGCGCGACATGAGCTCCGAGATCGCGACCGGCCGATTGCCGCTGTGGAACGTGCGCGTGAACCAGTCCTCGAGGCGCAGGACCTCGGCCCGCGCCTCGGTGGCCTGCGCGAAGGCGCACGTCTCGATCTTCTCGGCAAAGACGTACCGGATCGACTCTTGCGACCTGACCTTTTTCTCGTGCGACTTTAAGATCTTGGTCAAGCCCGTGTAGTTGAGCATTGCAAAGTTGACGAGCATGTTGAGGAGGCGGTAGAGCTCCATGCAGGCCGCGATCATGGCCTGGCGCGTCGCCTCGGTCATGTTGTTGTGGTGCTGCTTGAGGAGCGTGTCGAGCTGCAGCTTGAACTCGCGGATGCTCGCGACGTAAAAGGTCTCAACCTTGGAGTACTCTTTGATGAAGAGCTTCTCGAAGCTCTGGACCGTCGAGCCGGCGGCGCCGACGAGGAACTGGAGCTCGACGACCTTGTCGAGCTGCGCCTCCAGGTCAAAGCCCGCGACGTCCTCGCGCATGCCATTGACGGCGAGCTTGAGCGCCGCGTACTCGATGTAGTGCTCCTTCCACTCGCGGTAGGTGTTGGCCTCAAGCTTGTCTTGGAAGCGGCTCATGAATTCCCAACTCTCCCGGTTGCAACCAACGCGCCCAAAATAGACGCAACCGACGGCTCCGGTTGACGTCTGGTGCGTCTCCTTAACCGAGTTGACTCGATCTCGCCAGACCAGAATGAATACCCCCTCGGTCAGAGCCGGCAAAGAGGCCGTCGTCTTGTGTCGAGCACCATCACTCTGAAACTCGATCACCAACACTCACCGGTCTGGCGCGGACGATGAGTGTTTGCCAGATTCGAATTGGCATGTGGACGTCGATTGTGGCCAAGCTCGATGCGCGTCTGGAGACGGCGGGCGCGCCCAGCGAGTCGGTTGTGGCACTCGTGACGGACCAGCTGCAGGACGTGCTCTTGCACGCGTACCAGGTCGAAGGCCTCCGCTGGCTCCTGCAGCGCGACGCCGCCGGCCTCAACGTAATCGTCGGCGACGAGATGGGCCTCGGCAAGACGCTGCAGACGATCGCGTTCCTGTGCTACCTCGTATCGACCAAGTCGCTTATGGCGCCGAGCCTTGTCGTCGCGCCGCTGAGCGTGCTGCCCAACTGGGCCGAGCAGATCGGCCGCTTCGCCCCGCACCTGCGCGTCGTGACGTACGCCGGCAGCAAGGACGAGCGCACCGCCGCGCAAGCCAAGGTATTGCATCGCACGCATCGAGCGCTCTTATGCATTGCTTGGAATAGATTGCGACCACGAGCCCGCATGTGGTGCTCACGTCGTACGAGCTCGTGCTCCTCGACACGGGGTACTTTAAGACGCTGCCGTGGGTCCTTGGCGTCTTTGACGAAGGCCATCGACTCAAGAACCCGAAAGGCAAGCTGTACCAAGCTCTCTGCGCCGACATCTCGTGCGTACGAGACGTATTGGTTGCAGTGTCCTCACGCGCTTCGCTGTAGGTTTGATCGGAAGCTCCTCTTGACGGGCACACCCGTGCAGAACAACATGCTCGAGCTCGCCGCGCTCCTCGCGTTTTTAAACCCGAGTGTCTTTACCGAGGACGTCGTCGAGCGCTTCGTCGCGGCCAATTTGGCGCCGGCGACGCTGCGGGCTCTCTTGGCGCCGCTCATGCTGCTGCGCACGGTGGCAGACGTCAAGTCGACGCTGCAACTGCCGCCGCTCTCCAAGGTTGTCGTCCACACGCGCATGGCGCCAATGCAGCGAGCATACTACAAGGAGATCGTCTCGAAAGGCTCGGGCGACGGGCCCGGCGTCTCGCTCATGAACATCCTCGCGCAGCTCCGGAAGGCGTGCAACCACCCGTACCTGTTCCCGAACGCCGAGCCGGAGCCGTTCTCCGAAGGCCCGCATCTGTACGAGAACAGCGGGAAGCTCCACGTGCTCCACGCGCTCTTGCCGGCGCTCCACGCGCAAGGCCACGTCGTCTTGCTTTTCTCGACGTCTACCGCCTTCCTCGACATCATCCAGGACTACTGCACGATGGCCAAGCTCTCTTACGAGCGCCTCGACGGCTCCGTGCGCGGGGAAGAAAGGTGCGCCTTCCAGAGAAGCCAGCAAGTATCTGACCGACTGCGTAGGTGGCAAACCATTGATCGCTTCCGCAAGCGCGACGACACGTTCTTGTTTCTGTTGAGCACGCGCGCCGGTGGCGTTGGCTTGAACCTCCAGCGCGCCGATACGGTACGCTTTATCGAAAGGTGGTCGTCTCACGAGCGCATTAGGTGATTTTTTGCGACGTCGACTACAATCCGCAAATGGAGCTCCAGGCGCTGGCGCGGGCTTATCGCATGGGACAAACCAAGCCGATTCACGTGTTGCACTTGATCTGTCAGCACTCGGTGGAAGAGCTCATCTATAAACGGTCCCTCGCCAAGCTCGAGCTGTCTCAAAAAGTGTGCTCGTCATGCCCCACAGTACGGAATGTTACGGAGTTCTAGGTGCGCGAAGCCTCCAAGCTCCACCTGCACGTCGACGACACCAACCCTGCGTGTCTCGATGGGCTTCCGAACGACGCCGTCCTCGCGTATGGTCTGCATCATCTTTTGGAGAGCTCGGACGAGGCGCTCGCACCGCTCTCCGCTGACGAGATTGCGGTGCTGCTTGATCGCACGGCGCCGCTAGAAGCTGCCGCCCCTGCCATCTTGGCCGACGTCGCCGTCGACAACATGTACTGCTTCGAAGGCACCGACTACTCGGGCCAAGACGCGGCGTGCCTCAAGACCCTCAAGGCCACAACGCCTACCAAGACGTCCCGTAAAGGAGCCAAACTCAAGGTCCAGTACGAGGACGACGAAGGCGGTGTCGACGTCGATATGGAGGAAACGGAGGAGGAGCGGGCGGCGCGCAAGCAAGCTGCGCTGGCCAAGAAGCTCGCTATGTGGGCCAAGAACCAATACACGTCGCACGCGCTCGACCCTTGCGACGACGACGCGGCCAACGAAACGAACGAGATGGAGCTGGCATACACGACGGGCAACGCGGCGACGGTCCAACCCGCGGGCGCACAGCCTCTCGTGATCGTCCACTGCGTCGACACGAGTGGCGCCTGGACGCCGCGCGGCTTCTTTGGCGCGCTCTCAAGCCGGTCCAGCGCGCCCGAGACCGTGTACGCGGCCGCGAAAAAGTGCCAGGACCTCAAGCTCGGCCAGGCCCACTGCGTTCCGATCAGCGACAGCGTGTACGTCTGCCTCCTCGTTGTGCAGTCATCAGCCAAGTCCAAGCTTAAACTGCGCACTGCCAAAACGCTCGCCTTCCGCCTCAACGCGCTGCAGGAGTCTCTCAAGGCGCTCGCAGGCTTTGCGCGAGCGACCGGCGCGTCCGTGCACATGCCTCGCCTCGGCGCCGGCACGCCGGGCTTCAACTGGTACGCCGTCGAGCGCCTCCTAAAGAAGCACTTGGTCCGCTGCGGCGTCGAGACGTCGGTCTACTACTACAAGCCTCCGCACAAGAAGCCCAAGGCTGCACCGTAAACGAATCTTTTGCGCGTGTTTCTACCGTGTATTTCGCGGTATTACCGTAAATGGGATACAAATACAGGAATGGCTTGACACGGCAACGAGATCTTGTGGAGGCGCACGATGCTGACGTTCCATGCCAAGCTCGAGTGCAACACGTACTCGCCCTGGCTGGAGCACTACGTGAGCTACCTCGAGCTCAAGGCACTGGTCAAGAAGCTCCAGAGGCGCGCGACCTTTCTGCGGCAGCACGAAGCAGGCAACGAGGCGGCGCCGTGCCTCCCGCCCGAGGCCAGCGACTTTGCCGTTGCATTTGATGCCAACTGCGTCCGCGTCCAAGACTGGTACAGCGAGCGCCTCGACGAGTTCTTGGCGCAGTTTGCGCTACTCACGCGTCAGTGCGAGGCGCTGCAGAGCCATGGAGAGCAAGACCACGTCGAGACGGAGCTCCTCAAGACATCGTTCATCGAGCTCCACCACCTCGTGCGCACCCTGCGCGACTACGCACTTCTCAACTACACGGCGCTGCGCAAAATCCTCAAAAAATACCTCAAGAAATGCCCCATGGCCAGCGCCAACCACGACAAGCTCCAAACCGAGCTCCATTGCCAAGCGTTCGCGACCGCCGAGGCAGCGCAACGATTGGCGGCAGACCTCGAGGCCTTTTACACGGCGTCGTTCCACGACAATGACCGCGTCCTCGCGCTCTCGGAACTCGACGGCTGGAAGGACGACGCGCTCGACTGGCGACACGTGTACATTGGCTTGAAGATGGGCGTCTGCTTGGTGCTGACGTTCTGGCTGCTCTGGGACCACGCACTACTGGCCTCGCCAGGCTACCATGCCAAGCTGTACGCGTGAAGGCCATGCAAATATTCACGTATTGTCTTGTAGGACGCAGACCAAGGCGTACCCTGTCTACCGCGGCGTCGCGCTCCTTCTCTTCTTCCACTGGCTCTGGGGCCTCACGCAGTACGCGTGGCGCTCGGCGCGCATCAATTACATGTACATTTTCGTTTGGTTCCGTAGAACTCAGACGATTAGGTTCATTTGCGAGCTCGACCCGCACACGACCGCCGACTACACCCAAGTCTTCAACGACGCCAGCGACCTCACGATGGTCTTCTACGCCAACTTTCTCTTGTACGTCCAGGTCGTCTCGGGCGAGCTCTCCGGGTCGCTCCTTCCCCGCGGCTACTACCCGCTCGCCCTCGTCGTGTACGTCCTGTACCGCTACTGCATCAAGGCGTGGTCGCGCCAGAAACGACTGCTGCGCGTCCTGCACGACATTGCGCTCACGCCGTTCTTTCCCGTGAGCTACTTTCACACGTTCGTCGGCAACTACTTGACGAGCGCCACCAAGATGAACCAGGTGAGGTCGATTGTGATATGTTCCCCAAACTTTAATCGGAGAGACTAGGACTTTGCGTGGACCGTGTGCTTTTTCGCCACCGGCGAGTTTACCGAGAGCGACGACGTCCCGAGCGAGTGCTCGCGCAATGTGTACTATACCCGCGTCGCCGTCCCGCTCATCTGCGCCGTGCCAGTGGTGCGTCTGATTCAACCGAGGCTAGAGCGGTTGTCTATATGCCGACGAGTAGTGGTGGCGCTTTCTCCAGAGTTTGCGGCGGTGCTACGAGCTCGGGTCGTGGTTTCCGGGCCTCCCGAACGCGCTCAAGTACGCACTGGCGCAGCTCGTGATCTTGTTCGGGCTCTTCCACTCGTACTACTCGCCCCTCGCGCCGAGCAACTCACTGCAGGTTGGAACTCGGACGCGCTGTCGATGTATATTCCTATCGGTGGTCTGCGTAGGTGGTCTGGGTCTGCCTGTTCGTGTGCAGTTCGCTCTACAATTGGGCGTGGGAAGTGGTCATGGACTGGGGTCTTCTTCGTCCCAAGTATCAATTTCTGGGTGACGGGCACATGTACTCGCGTCGGTGGGTCTACTACGGTAACACTCAAATGCTTGCCGCATGCGAGTCGACACTCTGCGCATAGTGGCCATCATCGTCAACCTTGTCCTCTGCTTTTCGTGGACACTGGCGCTGATCCCGCCGGACGTCGGGTCTTTTGGCACGCTCCTCTTGGATTTGCAGCCGATTACGCTCTTCATGGAGCCGATGCGCCGCACCATGTGGAGCTGTCTGGCGATGGAGAATGAGCATTTGCGCAACACGTTGGGCTTCCGGAAGGAACACTTTATCCCGCTGCACTTTGACCGGCCGCCCTCGCCCACAGTGCGTAAGCCAACGTACGCGTTCCGGATCGCGGCCTTGAGCGCTGTCGTGCTCTGCCTGAGCGCTGCTGCCATTCTCTTGGGCTAGGGTTGGGTAGAAATTTCCAAAAGGAGCTCACTTGACCGACAAAAACGCTCCAACAATCGAGGCTTGAAGCCCCAGCCATGCCTCCTAGACTAGTATATGGAGGCGTGGAAATGAACGAACCAAGACTACTCTATTATCATACTACTCCAAATGAGCTATTAGCAGCCGTCGCCACCAGCAATCATGAGGCACGATGTCGACTCGAACATGGAGAGGATGCTGCACGTGATGGAGTAGACGAGCATGCAGAAGCAGAAGATGAGGACACCGCCGCCAATGATGGGAAAACGGCCGCCGTGGCGCTGGAGTTCGTGGAGTTGCGCCTTTTGCTTTGGGAGGAAGAACGACGTGACGCACGCCAGGACAAAGCACGAGTAGTAGATGATGTACGTGTACGCGACTTGGTTGCGCACGTGCTTGGTGTCCGAGATGATCGCGTCTTCGTCGACGTCAAAGTTGCGGTAAATCAAGTTGGAGAGGACCGGGCCGACTGCCGCCGGAAGGTTGGTGACCGTCGTGAGGAGACCATAGATCATTCCTTCGTTGCCGATCCCAGCGAGCTCGACGATCATGAACGTCGTGACAATGAAGAGGACACCCTGCGGCAGCTGCTCGGCCAACGGCACCCCGAGGTAGAACCACTGGTTGCGGAGAACGTCGTAAAAGGTACAGAACTGCACGACCGAGTCGATGCAGGCTGTCGTCAAGGTGGTCGACACAACGACGATGCGCCAGTTCCAGTTGGTGCCCCAGCGACCGATGGACGCGACAATGCAAGCAAATATGAGGTTGGAGACGATCGTCATGATCTGGCTGTTGAGGTTCTCGACCTTGGCCCAGTGCAGCTGCACGTACGGCGCCGCCGTCGACGAGAAGCCACCTCCAAAGAGGTTGTAGAAGAAGTTGAAGAGCATGAGCTGCCACATGGCGCGCTTCTGGATGAGTTGCCAGACCTGCGCAATGTACTCGGAGAACTTGGCGGCCTCGTGCTTGTGGTCCTTGATGAAGAGGATTGTGACCGGAACCATGACGACGCAGGGTACGCAAAGGATGATGTACATCGTGTGCGCGCCAAAGTCCCACGAGTACGAGCCAGCGAAGCGAGGCGAGTTCATGCAAAAGCCAGCGATCGCCGTCGAGATCGTCGTGCAGACGGTGCGCGTCGTGTAGACGAGCGACTGCATGCGACCACGGATTGCAAGCGGCTCGCGCTGAGCGTACTCGACGACCAAAGCGTCAGCTGGGACATCGGCAATGATGTACGAGATCGTAGCGAGGCCAAAGAGGATGGCAACAACACCACCCTTGTCCTTGGCGTTGTG